TTATACTTTTCGAGAGACAAGAATAAGAGAACGAATATAAATTATTATTAGCTTGTATAGCAATCATAGATTGACGAATATGCGTTGGTTATTCTTGATTTCTTTTCTATTATTGATATTATTGTATAATTTGCTCCATAAATACTTATAACATAAAAGAACTTATGTCGAGTAATAAGGATGTTCAGTATGTATCACCCAGTAAATTATTAGAGTTCAAATATATCAATATCAATTTTTTAATAATATATTGGAATACAGAGAAATGATAAAAAAATATATTTCGGCAATAAAAATTTTATAAATATATTGAAAATATTTTTACTACACGCGCGCGTGCACACACACACACACACACACACACACACACAACACATACACACTATATAAATGCAAAATAATACAGAAAATAAATTTTTAATAAAAATCAACATACCAGCTATTTGTGTGTGCATATGTAGCTGCAAGCATGCAACGGATTTATTACTTGATAAATTTATTTACGGACTTATTTTTGCATTTATATATATATATATATATATAGTGTATGTAATTGTAAAAAATGATTAAAATATTTTCAATATTTAAAAATTTTCAAGTTTATCGCCTTATATTTCTATAATTTTCTATATTCTAATATATTGTAAAAATTGATATTGATATATTGAACTCAAGTTTTTTACGTGATTGAATATTATTGCATTGAGCCATCATACGTTACTCGTAAGTTCTTTTACGTTATAATAGTGTTTATGTAGCAGAGAGAAAGAGATAGAGAGAGATTATACAATATAACTTCAATAATCGAAAAAAATCACGATAACGCTATGTCATATCTATGTGTGTGCATATATAAAACTTATATATTATATATTTTATAAATAAGTAAATATTATGCAGACAATGTATACAATATAAAATGTTCAGTTTGTGCTATGCTTCAATCAATAACACTGGTCGACAAAAAATGACTTTTTCAGGTTCGAAGATTTCCAAAGCGTATTTTTGTAGATTTTTTCATGCCGATTACAAATTCGGCCGCCAAAAATTGCGTATCACGTCACGTTTTTTAATATCTTGATCTAAAGATGCAAAAATTCGTTCAACGCATTAGTGTTTGTGTCTACATGGATGTTACTACATATGCGATTGTAAGAGAGACAAGGACAGAATGATAGTCTCTCTTTGTCAAGCTGTTAGCTGTCAGTATGTTACCACGGAAATTTCCCTGCTCCTTATGAATCTAGTGAGATCTTATCGTCCAGATATTTCATAAAATAAGTGACATAACTTTGGTTTTTTTTTTTTAATATATTCTTGATATAATAAAGTAGTCCGCCAGAGTCGGATTTTGCATTTTTGCTCTAAAAAATTTAAATAAATAAAATACGGACTCCTGCTAACCAACCTTACCCGTTACTAGCTGCGCATTCCTTCAAGTTATATTAAAATTTTATTTTATCTTTTTTTCAATAAATACTCTTGGCGGACTGCATTGAGCTTACTGATTAAGAATATCATAAATTTAAAGATTCATTCAGTAGTTTCGCTAATATCTGGAATATAAGAATCTCTAATTCCCGGCCGGCCGCTAGGCGTCTCCACCAGTCGCTGCGACCTAATAGATCATTCAGATTCGTTAATATCGGGAATATAAGAATCTCTAATTCCCGGCCGGCCGATCGGCGTCTCCACCATGTCGCCTGCCGACCATTAAGGGTCGGCAGGCGACATGGTGGAGACGCCTATCGGCCGGCCGGGAATTACGGATTCTTATTTTCCAGATATTAGCGAAAATATTGAATGAATCTTATTAAATTTAGGATATTCTTAATCAGTAAGCTCATTTGTAGTCCTCTAAAGAGCTATTTTATGAAAAAAAGATAAAAATAAAAATTTTTAATAAACTTGGGGGAATGCACAGCTAGGAACGGGTAAGGTTGGGTTAGCCGCGAGTCCGTATTTTATTTATTATAAATTTTTAAGAGCGAAAATGTAAAATCCGGCCTTTTAGAGGACTGCTTTATTATATAAAGAATATATTAAAAAAAAATTCACGAAGTTATGTCACTTATTTTATGAAATATCTGGACGATAAGATTCTCACTAGATTCATAAGGAGCAGGGGAAATTTCTGTGGTAACATGCTGACTGCTTGACAAGGAGAGAGCATCATTCCATCTTTGTCTCTTACATCGCATATGTAGTAGCGTCCATGTAGGTACAAACACTAATACGTGAGCACACGGATGCAAATATTGAGAGATAATGTCAGCAAAAAGGCTATCATATTATTTTTATTTTTTTGTATATGTATGCATATGTAAATAAAGAACAAAAATAAAAACTATTTTAAGATGACATTTTATAATTAATTTTCTATATGTATTTGCATTTTATTAATATGTATTACATTTTTGATATGTTTTTAATTTATAATTTATATAAACATAAGTATGAAATAAAAATTGAAATAGTTCTGAAAATAAGTATATTAATGATAAAATTATTCAAAACAAAAAAAAAATTAAATTTAATATTTTTTAGTGTTTGTACCTACATGGACGCTACTACATATGCGATGTAAGAGAGACAAAGATGGAATGATGCTCTCTCCTTGTCAAGCAGTATTAAAAGCCATATTAAAAGCTCTAGCTTCATTCAATTAATAATCCAATATAATAATCAACAATTATTTTATATAATATATAGTATTTTTAAATATTTTTAAATATTAAAAATATTTTTTTAAGATTAATTGAGGAAAGAATATTTTAAATATAAAAAATATTTTAAATATTTTTTTTCAATTAATTTTTAAAACAAATTTTTAAAAATATTTTATATATTCAAATACTTATTATATTATATAAAAATTATTGTGAATTATACTCATTGGAGTAATAATTATTGATTGAAGCTTGTTATGGCACAAACTGAACATCTTGTACATTGTCTGTATAATATTTTACTTATTTATAAAATGTTTTTTATAAATAAATGAAATATTATATATATATAATATATAAGATTATAATATATAAGATTATTGATGTTACATTGTATAACTCTCATTTCTTTCTCTCTGCTACATAAGTACTTATGACGTGAAAGAACTTACGAGTAACGTATGATGGCTCAATGCAAGAATATTTAATCACGTAAAAAACTTGAGTTCAAATATATCAATATCAATTTTTTTATAATATATTGGAATATAGAAAATCATAGAAATATATTTTTATATAGGCGATAAACTTAAAAATTTGATATTGAAAATATTTTAATCATTTTACAACTACACATACTATAAATATATAATGCAAAATAATTCCGTAAATAAATTTCAAGTAATAAATCAATTGCACACATGCACACAGCTGGTATGTAGATTTTTATTAAATTTATTTTCTGAATTATTTTACACTTATATATAGTGTATGTAGTAAAAAATATTTCAATATATTAAAAAATTTTTAAATCGCCGAAATATATTTTTTTATCATTTTTCTATATTCTATATATATATATATATATTATAAAAAAATTGATATTGATATATTTGAACTCTAATTTATATACTGGATGATATACTGAACATCCTTGCATTGATTATACATTACTCAACGTTCTTTCACGTTATAAGTATTTGGAGCAAATTATACAATAGCATCAATAATCAAAAAGAAATCAAGAATATAATCAACATATCCCTTATATAATATATATATATATATATATATATATATATATATATGTTATATATATACGTTATGCACATATGTGCATAACCATATATACTTCCAAAAAGTGGGTGCTTATTAGTTTTGCTACGTTACTGCTTTCTGCTACGGAAGGCCAGAAAGCATTTTCAGGCGGCATCTCGCGTATACCGGCACGGTAGATGAACAAGGAGAACACGTGATTATCGGTCCTTGTCTCTCTTACGTGCGTCCGCGTGAGCGATGCAGTTGGTGTATGTACGTGTACAGACATACACCACTACATAAAACCCGAGAATTGGTTTCTCGGCGTTGGCAACACTGAAACCGGAGTTTCGCGTTGTCACCGCACGAGGTCTCCAATATCAATTCGGAGTTTGCCTGGGTGTACTGCCGACCCTTAATAAACACTTTATTCTCATATAGTTAGTATTATATAATTATAACTGTATTTCGTTGCTAGAAAGCACTCTCATCCCTAACAGCACACATCCCGAAGACATTCAGACGTGAGAACATTATGAGAATGCCTCTTGTGGGATATCCTTGATATCTTTCGGATATGTTGTGCTATTAGATTGAATATTGGACGCTACATATTGGATATATCACACGTAATGACGATAGAATGAAATTTTTTTCTTGTATCCAATAATAAACTAGTACATACTGGTGCATTATTGACTAATTTAGATTGATATAATATATATTTGTCTATAAAACTTATTACACCAAGAACTTAGTAGTATAGATGCAGTTGAACAGAAAACAAATTCAAATCTTATATAGTTTATTTATAATATATTGAAAAAGAGAAATGAAAGAAAAATATTTTCGGAATTTTATATATATTGAAAATATTTTTATATACGCGTATGTAATACAGTACATAACGAGTATATAACAACAATATACGACGACCAAATACGACACGACAAATTTCTATTACGATATATTAAATAACAACAATAAACATTAATTTAACACACATTTAATAATAAATTTAATATTAATTTAATATTTAATTTAATATCTAATTTAATAATTAATATAATTTTATGTGTACGTATTCTTTTTCGAAATTGATAAGAAATTTTTCCGCAGTAAGAAAAATTGACACAATGTGATGCAAATGGTTATCGACTAGAGAATTTTTAAAGTCCCTAAAATTTTTCTATATTTTTCTTGTTGGAAAGTTCCTAGAGAAGAAAGAGAACGAGAGAGAGAGAGAGAGAGAGTGAGAAAGTGGGATGTGGGGGGGAGGGTGGGAGAGGGAAGAAATTTTAGAGAACAGTATTTTGTGAAAATATTACAAAATTGTGATGCGTGATTTTTCGTACCTTTTCGCTATTTTACGAAACAACGAGTTGTCGAGTTTTATTACGATGCGAGTTCCTCAACAAATAGATTTTCGTCGCATTATTATTATATCGACGATAAAAACATAATGCAATATAAACAATTCTTCGTAAGTCATTCCATTTGTCACGTTTCTCAAATACTGTCATTTTATTAAAAATTATGATTGTCAATTTAATCAAACGTTTTATGTAGAAAATAAAATTATATTACTCATATTTATTAGCTACAGCATTATAATACTTTATATGAGACATATGACATATTTTATTATAAAAATATGTTATATATATGTATTATAAAAATATAAAAAATACAATTATTCATTTTTATACTTGCTAATACATATAATTTTTTAATTATATCATAATCCAATTTTTTTAGTTGCGAAAGAAGGCATAGCAGTAATGGAAGAGCCACAAACTCCAGGATCCGATTGTAATTCTAATCCAGCGACCGATTCTATTCAGCAGGATTTGGTTGGCTCGGAGTTTGTCCAGGACAATGTGGAATATCAATGGTTTATCGATTATGGGTAATTAATTTTGCACTTTGTATTTGTTTTCATATTGTTGTGTATTTTTAAAAGAAATATATATATATATATATATATATATATACATATTTAATTTTAAATACAAATAAGAAAGGCCTAAGAGCCATATACGGATGTTTCTTGCGTACATCTCTAACGAAAATTAATTTTTCGTTGGAAATAAACGAAAATGTGCACAAGTCACATATTCTTGGTTTACTACCAAGACTTTAAATATGAAATATCTCTTGAGATTTAATTTCATAAACTCCTATACCCCCCTAATGAAATAAAGAAATAAACGCGAGAGAAAATATTTAATTTTTAAATTATAAATAACATTAAATTTTCAGATATAGAGATGGAGGACTACATATCCATCCTAGTGTTATTTCATCACTTTCCGTGTCCTACTCCTCCAAGGATCTAGGTTATTACGATGACCTTGCTCGTAATTTGGATGCCAATCTGGCGGAGATTGATATGGAGAGTTTCCGTACAGCAGACATACATACCCTGCTTACGGCTCTCCCTGTCATGTGTACAGAACCGGTTCAACATTCTGAAGTAACTATTTAATACAGAATTAATTCAGTTATCTCTAATCATTTCAAAAGGAATCATTTAAGTCAAGAGCATAAGTTGATATTGGATGTGAGATATGGGAATGTGTCATCATGCAAATTTGTAAAACCATCAGTTTATTTCATTCCTGTTTGCAAATTTATATCAGTTTATGCAAACTTTTATATAGGATGTCTCATAGGAAATTGCTGATACTAATCAGCTATCGTTTTTTAATGTATGCAATTATTGAGAAAACAAAAATTGTAGCGAAAAGAGGAAAGTCTGCAGTTTTCAAGATTAAGAATCAAATTTTGTGCAATTTTGTATTGTTTTATTTATAAATTTTTTTGTATAATACTTTAAATGGATATAAATAAAATGTTTGTATACCAGTTTATTTGATTGAAAAAAGTAATGAAAAAGTGCTAATAATCACATATGTAAACTAATGGTTAATATTTTCAAAGTGTGCACCATTTGAATTTGTACAAAATTCTGTTTTTTTATGAAAACTTGTAAAAACTTTTTTTAACATGTCATTTTTTTTAATGTTATTGACGATCCTTTTAATAGCTGCTATTAAACCTGGCACTGTTGAAAATATTTATTATTAGTTTATGTGATTATTAGCACTTTTTTCATTACTTCTTATCAATAAAATAAACTAATATACAAACATTTTATTTACATCCATTAAAAATTATAGACTTTCTTCTTCCAACACATTTTTTGTTTTCTTAATAACAGCATGCATTAAAAATGACAACTGATTAGTTTCAGCAATTTCCTATGAAACACCCTGTATATAAATAAGATTAAGAATCAAATTTTGTGCAATTTTGTATTGTTTTATTTATAAATTTTTTTGTATAATACTTTAAATCTGGTATATGTTCCATTATCACCACAGTTTAACTATGAAAGAGAACAATATGCCAGTATATCTGGATCTATCATGGAAAAGCTTGACATCGGTTCTTCCATCAGCCCTCATACTAGTAGCCAGGTATGAAAATGGCTACTAAAAGTAGAAACCCAGTTATTGCAAAATAAATTCTTCATATATTGATATTTGATATAAATATTTCAACAATTGTATCAATTTCAACATTTGTATTTGATATAAATATTTCAATATAACATTGAATATTCACCATCTAATGTTCGGATTGCTTACTCTTTCTTGCGTGGACATGAACATGATATTATGATACTAAAATTAATAAACATAAGTCAAAATTTTAATTTCTAATGAGAAGAAATCTAACAACACATCTAATAATACTAATTGAAGTAATTTACTAGCTAACGAAAAGTATAAAAAATACATATAATTTTATTTATACTAATTATATATTGATCATATTTATTATTTGTTTAATAGGAGGAGGATTCTGCATGTTCCACCACTGATACAATATCTATATGCAAGTCGTCGTTGCTCTTTTCTCCAGTGAAGGAAACATCAATGCTACCATCAGGTGGTAGCTATAGCGTGGATTCATTGGACTGCGAAGACATGTTGCTTACTTGTCAAACGAATAATAAAAATAATTATACCATTGCTTTTGAGGGTAGCATTACTATGTATTCGGATGGTTCCCAAGATTTTGAAAATCATGGTATGTGCATGAATAGACTAATAAAAATGATTATTTATTATATTTATGATTTCTAGCTTCTCGCTGATCATGTTGGAGTTGTGACGTCAGAGCCGAGAAAACACATGCTAAAAATTTTTAGATGCCATTTCAATATATCTTTTCATTTAAAAGTAGCATTTAAGAATTTTCAGTGTGTGCCTTGTCGCCTCTGACGTCACAATCTAACATTGCCGCGGCGAGGATTCAGGAGTCTTATTTATAATAAATAAAAGTAATATAAATTAATTTTGAACATCTTCTAATATACTTTAACTTTGTTATTTTATTTTATTCCTCTTTAATTACTCAGTCTATATTATTTTTAGATAAACCCAAAACATACGAGTCACCAGATGCATTCTATGATAAACAGAAAGATATGACAAGTGTATTAGACTTATCGATGGCATGTTCAGACTCGAAGATATATACCACATGGAGTAATTTGAAGCATTCCTCCATGAATAAAGCAATAACTCGTCATCCTTCTGGCAACAACAATATGATACCAGATATCTCGCAGAATACTGTTAATTTGATGCTTGGTGGTATGAGTAAACGAAGTCAAAGCTTACCGGATTTTTCACGCGTTCAAAAACTTCAGCAGGCTAATATGCCTATTAATTTTAGTGTAAATATTATATATACGTATAGAAAGTATTTATGAAAGACTTGGACAAACTTCTACAGTGTCGTCTTTCCCTCGTATACTATTTTTTGACCAAAATTGTTTATGCCAAAAATTGCAAGGAATAGATTTATATAAAAAAAATTATAGTAATTAAAAAAAAATATAAGTGACCTTTAAATGACCTTGAAAAGCGTTCTTCAGGAAAAACGTCAGTAGCGTCATCTGTTCTTTATATAAATTTTGTTCGAAACATTTTGTTGGATAATCAAAAATAAAAAAGTTTTTCTTTATTTTGATATGAGGCATACGTCTTAAAAATTTGTTCAAGTATTTCGTAAACACTCTGAATTATTTGTAATTACATTTTATACGTATAATTTTGTAAATGAATATAAATGTTGGTTCGACACAGATTGATTCCACCGAATCAAACAATCACATACAAAGACTGCACACCGGATCTGTAAATTGTTCGACGAACGGGGAAAGCTTCGACAACACGGAGAACACCGGCACAAATAAGAAGCTGCAAAATCTAAGTCTCCTCAGACTCTTCATGAAGCAAAAGAGCATGAGTGTGGAGGGGATGAGTCTGACCTTGGACCAGTCGGATTCCATAAGCGATAACAATGGTAGTAGCAGTAACAGTGGCAGCGACAGTGCGACCAACACGAATACCCAGATACAACGGCAGGATAACGTTTGCGATAATCGTCGCGTGTTCGAGAACAACGATTTCTCTATCAACTGGATCAAACGCGATATGATGATGGCTAATCACCGCGACGCGGAGAATCAGCGAGAAGCCTTGAAATGTGCATCGTATTGCAAAAATGACAAGGTCGTCGACGTGACGTCATCGTCTACGTCGGTGGAGGAGCTTTCGGAAAGTATATCGTCTAGATCGGCCTGCGCGGGTCAGCAAAATTTCGACAATATAATGAATAATCTTTCCGAGCAACAGCGGAAGAGCGGTTGGGTGGGTTTAACGGAGACCCAGAAGAAGCAACCGATATATCGAACAACAGGTATCCAAGCGAACGCGGAGATGGAAGACAACGCTATCCAGACCTCCCTGATCTTCACCGCGATTAAGGATAAATATGGGCCTTTCTTGCAAGAGACAATGATAAACAAGAAACCGGTTTACATCGTGTACCCCAATTACACGCTGCCCGATCTGTCGTTCCTCAAGATCAAGGAGACCGAACTCAACAATCTGGCGTTGAAGCCGCACACGTTCGACAAGAGTAACGTGGATTGGAAGCGTACCGTTCATGTGGGCTCAAAACCATCCTCCTGCAACGACATCGACGCCTTACGGCAACGCGGGTTCGCGCACGTCAAGGATTGGGAGTCGTTGACCTTCCTCTTGCCGTACGAGTACAAGAAGATCTTGCACGATGTGCCGGAGGTATCCAAGTACATCAACATCAACGAGGAGGTCAAGCGACCGCTGTTTTGTCTGTCTTCCCCGATGCGTCACAAGATCGGACCCATCAGCGAGGTCGTCCATCCGACCGTCAATACCTCGTCGACGAGCAGCACCGCGACGCAACCGTCTTCAGGGTACAGAGGCTCGTCGACAATCCTCACCGACTCCTCGACGAATCAGACGCCGTTGCTGAACAACGCGGTCAACCCGTTGTATCTGTACCGCTATGACAGCGTCAGTTCGGAGACCAGTCTGGTAAACAACGACAAGAAGCTGCATATGCTGAATCACAGACAGCCTGGCTGCCCGTCTCTTCCGAAGCGGTCGGTCTCGCTGCCGCAGGGCTGCGAGGGCGAATCCGGCTTCAATAATGGTAGAGTACCGCCGCGACCGCCCTTGCCTAGAAGCATTCTGCGGAAGAACAAGATCCTCGCGAACAAACGATACAGCATGTTCGAGATGGGAGATGTGGGCGAGCAGTCGGAGGAACTCTCCACGGAGCAAGTAAACAAGAGAATGTCCCTGCAAGAGCCGTATTATATGAACAACGATTTGCAGCTCTTGTGCTGCGAAACGGCGATCGACTCCGAGAAAGATGTCGACGAGACAGAAGCGGAGAGGTGTTTTAAAGGTATATCGGAAACCTTGAAAACCTATTCTCAGGAATGTTGTTTTACCTTGAAAAATTAGGGGATTCTCATGGAATTTGATTGACATTTAGGGAATTAAATCTCCTTTCCATAATTTTATCCTTATTTAGCATTTAAGGTTCCTGAATACTTACTGTGTCTGTTAGATTATGACGTCAGAGGCGAGAAAGCGTACGCTGAAAATTCTTAGGTGCCATTTTTAAGTGAAAAGATATTTCGAAATGAGATCTAAGAATTTTTCTTGTCTCTGACGTCATAATTCCAACATGGAAAGATGTTTTAAAGATATACTCCCGGTAACTTTGAAAACCTATTTTCAGGGAATGTTTTATCTTGAAAAATCAGAGGATTCTCATGGAATTTGGTTGAGATTCGGGAAATTAAAAAAATTGCTCTTTCTATAATTTTACTTTTATTTAGCAGATAAAATTCTTGAATCCTTATTGTGTCTATGTTAGATTGTGACGTCAGAGGCGAAAAAGCATACGCTGGAAATTCTTAGGTGCCATTTTTAAATGAAAAGATATTTTGAAATGACATCTAAAAATTTTTTTTGCCGTTGACGTCACAATTCCAACATGGTTATCGAAGAACCTTAAGAAATATATATCTACCATATTTTTGCAATATTTAAGTTTTTATTAAAATTAATATGTATTTTTTTATTGACGATCTATTTCAGTATCAACATCTTAAGTTTCATAAAAAATTGCACAATTTTTAATAGGTAATATTTAAATAAATTAATACTTTTTATTTAATAAATAATTTAATAATAATTTAATAAATAATTAACTTAAATAAATTAATATGACATTTATATAATAAATTATTATTTGTTTTTTAGTTTTATTTTATATTATATTCTTGCATATATTTTGAACATTTACAATTAGATACAATGATATATTGCACTTTGTTATTGTCCAAATTAATTTTACAATTAACAAATCAATATTAAATGCTAGAAAAACTGCACTCTTAATAACTTTCTAATTATATTAATAGAAAACATTAAAAAAAAGAATTTCTAAAAAAAGCAGCATCTTTTTCTGATTTTACCTGAAATTTTAAAGGAAAATACTGGGAATTCTCAAGGAATTTTTTTTATTTGAGCAGACACCCTGATTAGTAGATATATTTTATTTAATCGTTTTTATTTACCTAATGATGAATAATTTCTTATTGTAGAAAAATTGAACGAGATTACAAATAACGCGAACGTGGAATCGAAAATTTCTCAGCATAACGAAGACGATATCAAACAATTGGAAGAATATCTGAAACACAGTGCAATTTCATCACAAAGCGACGGAGATATTGAGGACCCTGAGGTTAAAGTGAGGTCGTACGTGAGGAAATTTTTAGCCTTGAAAATGAATAAGGATCCGCTCGTCAGGGATATTGATATGGGAGATTCGCAGAGAAAAACCGTCAGTTTTGCCGTAAATCAAAAAAAGAAACATCCAGATGCAGAGGTAAAAAAGTACAGAAATCCTCAAACTCAAAAATTCTGATTTTGATGAAATCTTACATATAAGAAGAATAATATTTTTGGGGCACAACAAAAATTTTTAAAATTTATCTATTTATATGTGTATAAAGTTTTATAAAAATTAGAATTTTGCGAGATTTCCTTATAAGTTTATTTTTATTAAAAAAATGTTTCCTAATTTCAGTTAAATAATTTCAACACTGTAAATGTTCAAAATCAAGATCAGGTGATGGAAAATAAATTAACGGAGTTTGAAGAGAAGAGAAGTATGCGCACATTGTTATTTTTATTCGATATAATTATTAAGCAAGAAATATCCTGAAGTTTCTATAATACATTTTGTCACTTTTTAGAAATGGTGTCAACTGTAAATAGAGCAGTAGATCTTTTATTAAAATATTGGAACGCCGATTCGAATCACAGTCGTCCCAACTATAATGAAGGAAATGAGTGTGCGCAAATCTGTTTAAGTACCTTATGTCCAGCTTTATACATTATCATGTCAGATGGTTTGAAACCTTATTTGAACTCTACCTTTGGACCAATCACCAATAGCGTTTGGCAAATCGTGGAAGCTAGTTCTCAACAAGGGCCTCTTACGAAAACATTAAATGAATTAGTACAGAAAATTAATGGTGAAGATATCATTACAGAGGGAATGCTGAAGTTTCATGCATTTGTATTTGGCTTGCTGAAGTAAGTTGAAATTCATCTTTTTACAGTTTTAATCGTGATCTAACCACTAGCGAATCCTGACATTGATGGCTTTAATCTCAAATTCTCTTTTCTAGGATCCCCGCTAGTGTAATTTATTTTATTAATCATATTAATTTAATTTAATTTATTATATTATTTTATTAATTTTAATTTATTTTTATTTATTTATTCTTTATTATTGATTGGATTCTTTATCATTGCCAGTTAAAAAATGAAAAGAATAAATATTTCTCCACCAATACTGACAATTCTTTATTTAATAAATTTCACAATGTTTCGATCATAATTTTGGTCCTAATTTATGAATTTAGGAATTAATTGCCAGTATTGGGCGAGAAATATTTATTCTTTTTATTTTTATCTATCGTATCTTTTAATTCGATCAAAAAATATGAGAAATTTTAATATATTTTTTTTTCAGTCTAAGGGCTCTAGATGCATGGTTTGCGTATTTGTGTACGCGTGAGTCCATTCTACGGAAGCATTACAATAACAACAGTTTATTCATTGCGGCTTTAGTCAATGCCAATGCCCGGGAAATTGTCGATTCATTGTTGTACACTTTGAATCCGCTCGCATTTTGCCCATTTCATCTGGATCTTCTCTATCAATATCGTCAATTGCAGAATAGCTTTGGGAATATGAATAATCATACTATGAATGTACGTAAATCTGAAAACTTATTATTTTTTAAAATATACAGGGCTTTTTAAAATATACAGATTTATTTCAATCACCCTAGGTAAATATTTCGAAAACTATGAGAGATACGGAAAATGTTTCAAACAGTTTTATTTTTACTTTGAGAGGGCATAAGATGGTGTGTCATTGGTTTGACTTTGTATACTCATTTGTATACTCATTTCAAGGTTACGTGAAGACCTTCAATTTCTTAAATGGAATCTATTATTTTTTATCGCATATTCTTGTAGCTTATTTTGAGAGCTTTCCAAAACCCTATGACAAATTTTTTTTTCGTGAAGTACTTTTTGAGTTATTAAGATTTGAAGTAATTCAAATAATTATTTTAAAAAAAGTATGTAATTTGCAACAATGCAGCTACATACTTTTTTAAAAGCAACTATGTGTTTTCTTTACATCAATTGATTGGTCTCATTATTCCGTACATAAAAGTATTAAGATATGATTATCGAAAACTGAATATTTTACAAGATATTTTACATTTTATGTAAAAAAATTGTTAAGTTCAAACCTAAATAACTCAGAAAGTACTTAAGAAAAAAATACTTAATTATAGTGTTTTGGGAAGCTCTCGAGATAAGCTACAAGAATATGTGATGAAAAATAGTAGGTTCCAATTTTATAATTAGTATAGAATAGTAGGTTCAAATTTAAGAAATTGAAGGTGACTTTTACGTGACCTTCAAATAATTATACAAGGTCAAACCAATGACATTCTATTGAAACATTTTTTTCGTATCTCTTATAGTTCTCGAAATTGTAATATTAAACTCATATTAAATTAATATTAAACTCGATGATATTTTACAGGCCATGAGCTTTAAAAATGTCGATTTGACTTTGAAGGATTTCAAAGATGAGAAAGCGGAATTCTGCGGAGTGGCTTTCAGTCCGAAAAAGACTCGGCCAAAGTCTCGTATCGCTTACAGCATAGATGAAAAATACGTAGTACATAATAAAGACGATGTTCTGAAGAAACAATTCAGCGCCATAAGTTCGAAGCCATTTTGCACATTAGATAAATTTACCTTCGAAGATTCCGAGGATTATACAGACAGTTTGGAACATTCTTCTCTGAACAGAAAGTCGAACAAGCAATCGAAGCTATTGAATCCTGCTTCTAAACTGAATGACGACGGTCTCTCGGGCGAGACCAAATTTAGAAAACTTCAGGAAAAGTGGGAATTCATGAGCGGCAAGGAAGGCAATAAGATTCAGTCCGCAGTGACGACTCCCTCGTCACCAGTTCGGACTTTTGGAGCGCTAGGGAAGTCGAAGATACCCAGATTGCTCACGTCACCGATAAAGCAGCTCAACGTCGCGGCTGGAAAACCGATTAAGTCGCCTGGATCGGGAATCCCCTCATTGAAAAAACCCGGTGCACTTCCCACCGCTATGAAAACGATACCGAAGAGGCCTATAGACGCGAAAAATGTGACGAAAAACGTGACGCGTCGAACCAGTCGGGTCGATCAGGATATCCTGGGCGTTCCACGAATTCACACCGCACGTCCGAGTTCCTTACCTTACAAATCGCATGGGATTACGTCAAACGACAAGAATGTGGTCTCGCCTCACAGACGAGCCGCCTCGACCTCTTTACCGCGTCCAGCTTTTACCACCGTTTCGAAAACGCCAGCTTCAAAAGTTTCACATAAGTAAGTATTTAAAAGAGCATTTAATATTTTTAAAGCATCTATTTTTCACAATTCACTCTTGTATTGGTTGCATATATTTTTTGTTTATATGAATTGGTAATGTGAGGTCTTGCATACAATAAAGAAAATATTAGGAATAATTAAGAAAGAAGAATAATTAAGAAAATTAGAAACATTATAAATCTAAATCGTAAGAAGGCGTGAAGAGCTAAACGCGGATGTTGCTATGGAAACAAATCGTGCACAAAGCACATATTACTCTTGGTGTACTAACCAAGACTTTGAAAACTGAAATAATCTCTTACTTGAAATTTCATTTCAAAAACCCCTTGACCCCCCTATCGAAATAAATAATTAAATGCGAGAGAAAAATATAGATCCGAAAGTTGCTGAATCGGGAATCGAACCCGAGACCTTTCGCTTGCCGGGCGACTGCTTTTCCAACTGAGCTCTTCACGTCTTCTTACGATTTAGATTTATATGTATATTACAGAGCCTGTTATTGAAACTTAGTTGTTTAGAAACATTATGTTAAAAATATGAATAATGTAGGGAAATACAAATATTAATATAACAACAGTGGAAAATGATAGGAGCATACATATAAATAGAGAAAATTATTCATTAAAAATATATATATATATATATGTATATATATATTAATAATAATAACATAAATATGATATTCTTAAATCGGCCGAAGAGCCCAAAGCGCGAAAATTAATTTTTCGGAACTGTATCTCTTGGTATGAGATTACTACAAGTTCCATATATTAATTAACCTCGAACTTACATATGGAAAAATAGGCGAGAAAAATATAGGTCCGAAAAGTCGCTGAAGCGGGAATCTGTATTTCGGATCTGTCTTATATTTTTTTCGCCTATTTTTCCATATGTAAGTTCGAGGTTAATTAATATATGGAACTTTTAGTAATCTCGTACCAAGAGATACAGTTCCGAAAAATTAATTTTCGCGCTTTGGGCTCTTCGGTCGGTTTAAGAATATCATATTTATGTTATTATTATTTAATATTGAGAGCCGACAAAAATATTTCTTATTTGATCATATATATATTGTTTACAAATAATTGATTTTTATAAAATACCTTGATTAAAAAACTTCTCAAGAGAGAATTAAAAAAGTATATTTAATTCACAACATCTAAAGTTATTTTCTATTTTTTGTAGAGACTTGAAATATAAAATTTAAAAATTTGAATAAATATTTTAGCGTCATTAATAAACGCTGCTCTTGGAGTTAATGATTTTTTAAAACTGTTTTTGATTCGAAATGGAATAATTTTGTTCAAAAAAATTTCATATTTCTGATGACATTCTGATATAGAGATGAAAAAAAGAGACCGTTTTTAAGCTCTTTCACATAAAAGTTGAAAAATCGTCTAAACTATTTCTTTGTGAAATGATAAGACGAACTCACCAGTATATATTTCTCCAAAGTTTATGTTTCTTTTCCTCTCTATAAGTAAAATTATCATTAATTGAAAAAACTAAACATGATGAAAGTTTTGCTGTAGGTTTAGAAATTTCTTTATACTATACTTGATAGCGACATTTAAATTCATGTTTAAAATAAGCTGAAATATTTTTATATTATGTCTGTACATACATGACATAATTTCTGTATTTATATTTTATTTTTTATTGCGCGTTACATTTGATCTCTATTTCTATATATGTACATAATTTATATTCTTAAGGCTCCTGACTTTTTGGGTCCTTAAATACAATATTTAAATATTTATTCTTATTCCTAATGTTTTCTGTATTATGCGCAAGATCAAACTATTTTTTATACGCTACGTTTTATATTTTTATTCTTTAACTATATGTTTTATACTTTTTCGCTTCGTATTTTTAGTTCCTTTCTTTTCTTCTTTCTTTATAGATCCGTACGATAACGATTCGCGCATCTCGATTGCAGAGAAGTTCGCACACTCACTCACAGGACGCCGTCGGATACCGGTCAGCTCTCGTTCGTCGAAGGGGAGAAGTTGAAAGTAATATTAGAGGTGGATAATAAGTGGTTGTTGTGTACAAAGGGCGAACGAAGAGGTTTGGTGCCGCGAGCATGCGTGCGCAGCATAACTTAGATTCTCTTCCCGATAATAAAATACGCTTCATGATATCATCATCGTAATCACGTATTCGTGACTGTAAACGTAATATATCATGTTTCTCGAAGTGGAGAAAAAGACAAGTTGAGAAAAGTTCAAATTAAATTTGGCACGATGTAACACGAAGGTGGTGTACAGTGTATTAAATTTTAAGCTAAATATATATATATATATACAGTTATATAATTAATACGCATTATCACGCGCTTGTAAAGTTACTTTTAATCCGAAGTTTAATCAAGATTATTTCGTTTCTCTATCGAGAAACGCGATAATAGTATTATTACTAGTGACGCTATCGAGGACATAGAGATATGACTTTTAATCATATATAGGTTCTCCCGAGAAAGATATATTTAATTTATAAATAGACATCTGTATTTAGATTTGATTTATTTGAACATGTGCATGAATATAGAATAACGACACTCGATATGTCCTCGACGAATAAAAAAGAAAAAGCCGGTAACAAAATGTATAATAACATTACACATATTATGAATGTAACTGTGATCCTAGTAATAGGCGATTAAGTTTATTAGTATGTATATGCAGTGTATATTTCATTTTGATGTTTATATACTGTGACTTTGTAATTTATTTATGTGTGTATCCGTATTTCGCACAACGTCGCGCATTAACAATCCTGATCATCCTCACGACCTACATTCTGATTCTATTCGACATACGAATCGTCACGGCATATATTTTTAGGATGGCAGTGATCACATTTTTTACATGCTTTATGTATTTCCTGATATACATATATATACACATATATGTATATGTTAAGATATATAATATAAACAAATAAAATTATCATGAATTATATTTGATAGTAGTTATATATTTGTCTATCAATTACACAATCTAATTTACTTAATGAACATATTTATAATAACTTTAATTTATACACAGTAAGAAAATTTTTGTTTACTTGTTAAAAACGGTCCCCGTTAAAATTTTGTGTTAAATATTTAACACATTTTTATGTGTTGATTAAACTTAAATGTTAAATTATTAAAACAACTGAAAAAAGATGTTAAAATAACACAATGGTTTATCTATTTTTAATTTTATATAATAAATATATTCTGTTTTATTAGTGACAATATTTGTTAAAATTTATAGAAAAAAATGTTGATTTTTTATTTTATAATATAAGTGGGGATGATAAAATCTAAAATCAACATTTTTTTATTTTAATTTATTTTTACATTAAAACTATGTTAATTTTATACAAAATTTATTTTAAATTACTTCAAGTTTTGCATTGATTTTGTGTTAAAATATTAACTTAATATTTGTGTCTTCATTTAATATATCTGTATTATATTAAATTAACACAAACATATCTGTGGACCGTTTGAGACATGTGATATCTATTAAATTTAATAGAAATTTTTCAACTGTGTAAGTCTAGTAAAACAATTTAATTGCTATGATGAGAAATAAAAATAAGAAATATTTTTTAGAAAGGATGTGAATAGATAAGCTATCAAAAACGGTCTTTTATCATTTTTTTATTACTTTTTATAATAAATAGACGATTACAATAGAGAAATATTTAAAAGTATTAAATAAAAACTGCAAAGGAGAAAATTAATGTCAAAATAATACATATAATGATAACACATGCAGGTACACAAAAAACAAAAGCGGTATGTCCGAAAAACTAGACCTCTACCCCTTCGTTTTTTGGTTCTCTGAATCCAATTCCAAGATCCGGTTTAACTCTATCAGGTCCCAGTTTTTCTATAACTTCAAAAAATATGAAAATTCAGGGTAAATTCGATTTTTAAATTCGATGGAGAAATCATTCAACTCTCGGCTGAAATTTAATGGAAACGTTATACTGGTGATGTCGGTGTACTGAATCCATACCTATATCTATACTATGAGATACCTTGCATACCTTCTTGAAATACGAGATCACAGCAAGAATGAAACTATTATCTATCGTGAATCAAACATTCTGTGCAAAGGCATATTCGTTTTTTCCCTTCTTGTGGTGTATCTTTTTTCAGTCAGTCATTATATTTTCATTTCATTTCCCTTGATATCGACGTTTTTTGATATCTTGATGGGTCGTTCGCTCTTCGCTATAATCATCGAGATTTTTTGAGATCCAATCGAGATGCGAATCCAAGAAATATATCTTCAAATTCATCAGACATCCCAATTCCTTGAATTTTAATCATTTTGCAGTCTCTTAGTCTGTGAATGTACTCAATGCCACTTTTCAGATATCATACATTGTTGTAATAAATGATTGAAAACTTGATTCCCAGAAAATCTCGGTTATTATAGCGAAGAGCAAGAAGAACAATTCCATCAAAATATCAGAGAAATGTCGATATCAAGGGAGGTGGAATGAAAATTTGATGGCTGACTACTGCTGGACACTGAAAAGAGATGTATCACGAGAAGAGAAAAAGCGAAATAAACGAATGCCTTTACACAGAACGTTTGAGAGCAAGACAGTGCGTTACTCACGATAAATATAGTAAATTATTTCTTGCTGTGATCTCGTATTTCAAGAAGGTATGCAGGGTATCTGATAATATAGGTAGATATGATGGATTATCAGTACATCGACATATATCATCTCCATAACGTTTTCATTAAATTTCAGCCCAGAGTTGAATGATTTCTCCATACAAAGTCGAATTTACCCCGAATTTTCATATTTTTTGAGATTATAAACTGGGACCTGATGGAGTTAAACGGACCTCGGATTTGGATTCAGAACACCAAAAAACGAAAGAGTAGAGGGGTTTAGTCTCTCAGACATATCATTTTTGTTTTTTGTATGCCTGTGTAATCTTTGATCTTTTTTGATTTTATGCAATTTTTGAATCAAGAAATATGATTCATATATATCACTAAAAGGAAGAAAGAAACAGAAAAAAATTCTACAAGAATCATTTTTTTCGGAACTGACAGATGAGTGTTGTAAATAAAAAATTAGCTAAATTAATGAAAAAGATTATTTTACAAAAAAATATTTTCACGTAAAAAGTTAATGATAAACCATTTTAAAATTATATTTAACGGTAGGTTACTATTGATCTGTTAACATATATAAAATCAAAATAGTTTATCATTAACTTTGAGAGATTGTAGGGAAAAAGCGAAAAATCGTAAACTTAGTCAACTTTGAGGGTTCACAAAACAATTTTATTAGTTTTGATAAAAATAAATAATTAAAAGTAATCTACTTTCTAAATACAAAAATTAAAAATTAAAAATTTTCTGAATAAAGGCCGAAAAATTTATTTATGTATTAAGAATTAGATATGAATAATAAGCTGCAAAAATGATTAATTTTTCAAAATATTTTAAAAGTGTTAAAGCTATTTGAAGTAGTATCTTATCAAAATATATTTTTCTTTAAAATGGCATCTATATAATAAGAATTTTCAGTGTATGTTCTTTCAGGAGCAAACAAATAAAGATTAAAAGGTATTCAAAATTTTCAATCCCTTTTTTGAATGGAATTAGAAGGAATTTAAAATGAAATTGTTTAATCCCATCCAATTCCATGAAATCGGAAAAGAAAATTTTCAATCCTATCCATTCCTATATATAACATATGTATATAACTTCATGGGAATTAGGAAAGGATAATAAATTTAAACAAACGTTTTCTACACTTTTTTATTAATATTATATTATATATATTTATATTTAATATTATATTATATAATTATTTTTATTTTATATATGTATGTATATATATATATATATATATATATATATATATATATACATATATACACTTTTTTTATAAACATTGCATTATAGAGTTATTATATTATAGAGAGAGCAAAAATCAAAATGTCATCCAATTACTCAATAACTGCTAGACATAAGTACACGATAATATATTGATATCTGAATAAGAGATACTGCTACGTATATAAGTAAATCTCTAAAAACTCACCTTTAAAAAAAGGTAAAAAAAGGCGACCAGTTAAGGGCACGCCATTAACAAAAATTATCCATTGCAAACCCATGTAGAATCCTATCCTATTGCAAACCCATGTAGAATCCTATGAAAAATTAACCATTGCAAACTCATGTAGAATCGTTTTCGATGTTTGGTTCAATGTTTGGTTCGATGTTCGGTTCGATATTCGATTCGATGCTCGGTTCGATGTTTAGCTCCATGTTCGATTCGATGTCCGGTTCGTCTTCTAAATTTTCATCTGAAGTTTCAAGATCCTGCTCCTTGTCCATTGCATCGCTTTTCCTTTTCTTAGATGCATGACATTTATGCGCTGAAAAATATTTATAAATATGCTATAAAAACATCTCAATAAACAAGTTATAAACATTGTTAAATTTTTAAACAAAATTGCTTACACTCTTTTAAAGAAGATATTAGTTTAGCCAAAATGCTTCTCGTTTTTTCTATCAGCTTGTCCGCCTTTGCTGGTGGAATTTGTTTTTCAACTGTTAAATAATAATAATATATTGCTGCAAAACGTAAGAATATTACTTATTAGTATCGTATATTAAGATAATTAAAAAATTTATTATGGTAAATTCTCGGAAGCAAAGAAATATATATTTGATAATCAAAGTTCAGTTTCTAATGTTTTAAATTATATTTAATGTTTAAAAGAATCAAAGTTATTTACGCAGATGAATATATGACTACTTCGTACAATGATGGTGATGATAATAAAATTACGTATTACCTTTGATTGCTAATATTTTGTTGCCATCCAGCTTTTTCAGGTTTTGTAGAATTTCTGTTACGATTACTTCCTTTTCCGGTAACAGTGCTGTTCAGCAGCATGTCCAAAGAAAAGAGACAAATTGCAATTTGCCGAAGAAAAATTGCAGGCTTTTTACAATCGCAAGCGGCTGCAATGTATGAGGATTTTGATAGATATTCACTATATCCAAGATGAATCTGTAACAGATATAATCTGATTAAAACCTGGAAAACTGGAGAGTCTGGAAATTCGAGTAAATTAATTTTGCATATAAAGTTTAATGCGACTTTTTAAAGAACAGTGCAAGAAAAAGAAAAAACGATTGCAGAGAAGGAAGAATTGATGGCCAGAGAAAAAAATATGAAACTATTTGCAGCATTGAAGGCTGAAGTAAGAACATAATACCGATTGAATGTTGAACTGCAGAAATCTGCAATCATCAAAGGAAGAGATTCAAAATTCGTTAAATATTGAAATCACTCACGTTTTTATTATCAAGCGTTATATAGCCAACTGGATGTTCATCACTTTGGGATGCCACCACTTGTGGATTGCTTCCTATAATCATATTTTTAGCAAAATTTTCACTTATATTAAATATATAGATATTATATATTAAATATATATTAAATATATATAAACACAGAAAAACAGTATCCTTGAAAGAATGCAAATATACTTTGATTCAAGTATATTTTATCCTTATAATGGCACCAAATATAAATAATTTTGGATAAAGGATAATTTATCCTTAAAACAAAGTGCAAATATTCTTGGTTAAAGCTGAAATTTACTTATAAATATTGCAAGGACAAGTGACAAGTGAGCATCAGATATAAGTGGTACTTTCAAATATATATAATAATTTTTAGTTCAAATGTGACTAAGTTTGTTTTTACCATATGTGATTTTTAAAACAAGAATATATCTTAAGGATAAAATATACTTTACACAAACTTATTTATTATTAGGGCAAATAAAAATTTATAATTACAAAGAGCATTAGAGGCTTAAATCAATCAAATAACGTTCAAGAATAAAAATATACTTGAATCAAGGATTCCTTTTTTTCTGTGAAGGTATACGAACTTCGCATTTCTTTTCCTTTGATAATATAG